GAGCAAACAAAGATGCCAAGATTTATGTTAGAAGGTCCACGACCCTGCACAATCTTTTGTTTTGCGTTCATACGTTATGCATGAATTACGTAACCAGCACGTTTCTATTGGTTAGTTCCTCAGTACGGAGTAAACAACTATTGTGTTTTGTGCAGGGTCAAGGCCAAAAAAGAGAACAAAAACATACAACAAAGAACTTTGTCGGGTTTCATAACCATTCCCTCTATTAACTATGCTCTGCTAATTAGTTTTTATGTAAGAACCTGGCTTGTTTAAACTAACTTGGGAAAATACAGGTTCTTAGTTGCAGGTTTTTACTAGTAATTAAATTTGATGGAAAAAAGATTATCAAAAATTAACATAGCCAGATGGGCTTATTTACAACTCCATCTTTCAGACCTGCAATTTATTTACGGCTGTCTTATAAAGGAACGACAAAAACAGCATGTATTTTTTTTTTCAGCTTTAATAAATTCCAGACTATTTAAATGATCTGTTTAGAAAATCCTCTTAACTAGATGGAATAGCAAAATGTGACTTAATAAATCCTTTGATCAAACTGTCTTCTGCTTTCCTCTTGCCAAACCATCTTTGCCTAGAGAAGAGCAAAGGTTGTAGCAAATATCAGAAAAATATAACAAAGACAAGAGGCTACACCTGAAACCCGTCTTTACTGTTACTTTAACACCCAGGGAGAAGGTTGTGGTACTTCTATACAGGTACGTGCCATGGAATAAAGGGTGGGTTTTGAGATGATCAGTCTTTATGGTACACTACTTGGCTTGGCTTTCTGATCCTTTGGTAGGGTTCCTTTGTAAAATTATACTAGCTCACCGTCAGTACATAAACTTCAGGGGTTTCAAAATGTTTTAAAGTAGGCAGCGGAATCTGGGGGCTGGGGGGGACTAGCATTGCTGGCAACACACAATCAAGTAGCTGATGGAACTCCGGTGGTCACCAGCTTGTTTTCAAACCACTGAAATCTCTGTTTAAAACTGAAGATACATTGATGGGATCAAGATATAAACTTGAGCCTAGAGCTACTGAACAACAAAAAAACACTCTTTTTATGCAAATCAAGCTGTTTGAAGATGGAAATAGGAGGGTAAACACTTTTTGACACAAAAAAGATGTTTATAATTATCACATTTACCCAATATTTCCTAGACCTTCACTTGTTGGGGGATTGTTTGTTAAAACAACTTGGGACATTGCATTGAAAGCCTGTTGTCAAGGATACAACTAAGAGGAGATGGTATTTACAACAAACCTAAACTGTATTTTTCAGTAGATACTGGAAAAGAATCAAGAATGCATTGTGAATCTAAGCATTAAGATTTCGAGCCAAATACAGGATCAAAGGACGTTAGTCAATAAAAAGGAATGTGGATATTTTTGGAAAAAGGAAATAAATACAGCTTGAATGTCTCAGGGCTGGTTTGCACGTTTGTAAAATTCATACGTGTAATTTATTGATAATATTTTGATGTTTCTTTTTTTAAAACAATAATAATATCATTGATCAATCAAATAAAGTAGGTGAATAAAAGTTCAGTATTTCCTTTAACACTAGAAGAAAAACTGTTGTATACATGCTAATTATACACAGCTGTACATCGTTATTATTGTGGTTCAATTTTATCCCTGGATAATTTTAGTTTCCTTTGTGTCATACTCATTATCATACATTTTCATACCCCCCAAAACAGGAAAAATTTAAATTGAAGTATAAAGAAAAAAAAAATACCGTCCATGTATGGCCAAAAGAAAAAATGATCACTGGCTCACTCAAAGCTGCACTGGGAGACTGTTTCTCCTAAAAAGGTTTGAACTCTCTGTTGGATACTCCCTTTGCCCCACTAACTACAGGTCCATACCCCTCCCCCCTCCCCCCTCAGGCATGCCATTCAACATAGATATTGTAATAAAAGAAGACCACTGTCAACCTTATTAAAAAGTTACCGAGTAAAAACATTGTTACTAGGAAACAGAAAAACCATTCTACTGAAGTGAATTATTGCAGTATCCTTCAAATTTTGGTTGCATCGCTTACATGTATTGTTTCTAGTAACAAAAGTGCAAGTCTTAAGATGAAATTTTCATGTTATAGAACAAAAAATATCCTTTCTTTTTCCAGGGAGGCCATTTTCTCCCAACAACTCCCTTCCAGGTAGAAATTTCATTCAAGTTTCATATAACATACTTTTTGTTTGTTTTGACCCCCTCTCCTTACAACTTTTAAGGATCCTAGAATCAAACAATGCAAATATCCCTTATGCACAACTGTCTTACAATATAGATTTTAAGGCTCAGCAAGGGAAAATTGGCAAAAAAATATACTTCCAGTCCTTCACACGTAATTGAACTGTCTATCCCCTACTAAACAGAGAGAAAATAACTGGCAATGTAATTTTGCTTATCTGTGCAAATTAAGTTTGCTGTCATTAAGTTTCACAATCCATCCATGATATTCCCCGCAGCTGCATGATATTTATCGTTAAAACAATACTAAATCTTCTTTGTTTGGTCATGATATTTGCTTGAAAGGCCGGCTAGATACCTTCCCAACATTCTCGGCATTCAAGATACATAATTCCGTTAGCCTGTAGGTAAAAATAACGAGGAAACCAAATAGCATCGGGCGTCCATCTTTGTGCCTCGCGCGAAAACAGAGTAGCAACTCTGCAACCGGATGTGATGTCATAAATCGGTGGATCATAGGTATACGAAATTTCGCTAAGTCGTGGGCCCCCCTGGCTATGTAGGTATGTGCGGCGCTTAAGGGTATGGTTTTCTAGCTGTTTTGTTCTGAGATAGGGTATCAATTTCGGTCGTCGCTTACACGCGTACTAAATCAATGCAGAGACAAGTAAAAAGTACCGGCGTGGATAAATTAGGAAGTAAAAAACCTTTGGCGAGTAAATCCTGTTTCGTCTAGAATTAATCGCCTCCTCATTTCCTGAGCTAATCTCCAAGCAAGCGAGACTAACAGGCGCTTCAAGCGCGTTCTTATTTTCTCCAAAATAGGCAAGGTCTAGTCTCCAGAATGGGAGGTTCCATTCACAGGTCACACTTGCTTACATTTCATCTATTCTTTCGCTAATTAAACTTACCTAACTTCATATCAATCCTTTCGAGTGTGGGCCTCTGATGATTTCCTAATTCCCCACCAAATTCAGTAAAAGTAGTTTGATCGATTATTAACATCGATCGACCCGTTGAACGCGATATAATGCGACATAGCTTTGAAATACGCGCTTAAGCCAACCACTCTCTTCCTTCGCTTTTCTCGCCCAAAAAGAACCTCCAAAGCCCTATTTGAGTTTTATTGACTTATTCTATGAGTTTCTTATTAATCCAGGGGGGAATTGTTTTTGGCCCGAGTTAGCGCGAAGTTCTTGTTAGCGAGATCTCAAGTTCCCAAAAGTCAACTGCAAATCAATTCTTTTTACGCGTAGCACTGCTCACGCAATTACTTGTACAGTCAAGTCTCTCTAACACGGACACCTTTGGGACCGGCACTAAGTGTCCGTCTAGAGAGGTATCCGTCTTATAGAGAGTCAAATAAAGGGAGTAAAGAAAGGCAGGGACCAACTCTAAGTGTCCGTTTTACAGAGGTGTCCGTCTTATAGAGGTGTCCGTTAAGAGAGAGTCGACTGTATTATCTTTAACGAATTATATTCTTAGCTAATAAGTTGCTGACTTTTTTTTTGCTTGATTGATATCATTTTAGACGGAACGATTGGTGAACAAATACCGCTGTAATTTTCTTTCCTGATGGGATAAGGGGGAGTTAGAAAATGACGCAGCATTTTTCTTCTGAACACCCGAACTTCTACAAGTTTTCAGCCATTGTGATGAATCATGAAGGGCCACAATTAGAGAATAATTGCGGATTCCCCGGCTCAGAAACTAAGTCGTCGGCGGTCGACGGAAACACAAAGGTTGTTAAGCAAGCACAAAAGTTTCAAGGTGAGGCTTTTTTTTTCTTCTCGATTGTCCCGAAAAATGCCGAGAGGTAGGGTGAACGAGGTCAGTATTGTCAAAGCCCAAGTCAAGTATTGTTAAAACATTCCGGACGACAACAAGCCAGCAAATAATACATTTATTCTAATGAGAGTCTTAACACAGATATGCTTGCAAATCACAGCGCAATGCGTGACCTATTTGGCCAACCCCTATAGCAAAGGTGTATCAAATCTTTAAAAAATAAATCACAGGCAAAAAAAAATCATCACTTCTTCTTAAGAGAAGAAAAAAAACTTAGAATTTAAACGAAAAGTTGAGAATCAGATACTTTCTATTCTTACTTCAATTTCATTGGTTAAGCAATTAAAAACAACAACAACAACAACAACAACAACAACTTTTAAGGATTAGCGGGAACTTTGAAAGCGCGCGTAGCGTAATATGCAGACTACTCGGGAACACTGATTTCTGCATTTCCCTTAATTAAGCATGGTTTTCATATGTCGTGGAAAACCCAGGCGATCGGGTATTTGGTGTCTCCGTACTTTCCAGATTTCAGCGATGTTTCAGGCAAATGCCAGGGTCTGTCCCAGACACCATTTTGATGAAGGAGGGAATGACTGCAGTAGGCATTTGGATGATTGGGACCGAGCAAAACCGACTGTCCATCGCTCCACGATATCCCCGACGTCCCTGACAGTGCAAATTTGAGTTTTCATATTTCGGTTTACATAACTATGATCGTCGAAATTCGAAAAAATCTAAAAGAGAGAAAGAAATGCGCCCGATTCTCTTGATTTGGCTATAATCATCTCATATCCAACAAACGCGAGTGGAATAATTGTTTTATTAAAAACGCCTACAAAATCTCGTTGAATCTCCCCGACTAGAACAAACCGGAAAAGACAAGGGACTTCCGCTATTCACATGTCACACGTCTATCAAAACTGTCAACGCGCGAACGGACTCGCCTGAACTGCATGAATGAAAACTCAAAACATTGTAGCGATGAACATTAGTTTTTTAAAAACTCATCGGGATTCTAGGATTTTATACAGTAGAACAGCTTTAAAAACCTGGCAGATAATGTGAAGGAAAATAATTTTTAAGTGACAGCCGTCGAAATTACTGTGAATTTGGATTTTCGGTGCAGTTATAAAAGTAAGAACAACGGAGAAAAACTATTACCTCTTTCCCTTGTTATGAAGTTGTTTGAAGCCACAAGCTGGTTTTGCTGAACGATAAAAGAAGCTATACTGCCGCCTCGATTGCTCTAGTGAATGGCTGCATAGCCTGTATTTGCAGCTGGTTACTTGTGATTTATATTCTTGATGTCGGATAAACAAGCTGCAGTTATCTATCGGCAAGTGACTCCATCGGCGAATGGCTTCGCGATCATGAAGAAACAACACTTGTCTTCTTTCGTAGCTGGTCAAGGTACTTTAGTTCCATGTGTTTTCATGTGTTTTTCGACAAACCTTCAAACAAGCTCTTCTGGCTTTTTTGTTTGTTTTTGATTTCGATGAAATTGTATTTCTAGTATTCTAAGAAATGAATTAAAACAATTTGCTTCGGGCGCCGTTGTATCCTTCGCGAAAAAAAATCTCAGCTGGCTTCCAATTTTAAATTGACGCGTACACCGACCAGATATGGAGAGCATGGTATAATAGCTCATATACCACAACGGCTAAGCCAATCAAAATGCTAGAATTGCATTATCCAATGATTCAGTTTTTAATAATGTATATTATGTCTTCTTTTCATACTTTAGACCTGGAGCAGACGGCAGATAACAGCCCTCGATGCTCATTTCAAGAAGCACATCCAAGCTCCGGTCACACTTATGATCGAATCAATGATAAATTTCTTAAAACTCGTGGAATATCAGGCAGTCGTAACGTGTGTGAGATTTTTGTGGGAAAACTCGACAAAGCTTTAAATTTCCGCCAAAGCGAGTACATATCAGAAGCACGGAATGAAGTGCGCGAGCTTTTTGACCTCATTAAAAGAGAAGACGCTAGAGATTTTAGGAAACCAACTCGATATTGCTTGGAAGTAGTAAGCCGTGGGAACGACCTATTTTTCGATAACAGCGTAAGTTTTTCTCTGAAACACGGGCTTTTAGTACTTGATTCAAGTAATGGTGGCGCGCTGTTTTACGCCAGCTTGCTTAATGTTTTGGGAGTGCTTGCTTTGGAGATTTCAGAATTCCATATTGCTAAGAAAATATTCTCCATCTTGGTTGCCTTTCATAGTACATCAGACGCAGCTAGCCGGTTGAGGGACTTGGCAGCAGCTTTTAATAACAGAGGCTGTCTCTCACTTATAGTAGGAGAGTTTAACCACGCGAAAAGTGATTTTGACAACTCAGTTAGGCATCTGAATTATGAAAAGCATAAGCGACAATGTTTCTCATGGACCGAATCCCTGATTATTGGAGTACATAATAATGTTTGCTGTTTAAATTTCATGTCTCGGAATTTCACCAAGTGTATCGAAAAGCAGAACGAGCTTTTAAATCTCTGCAAAAGTAAGGCCCCAGAATTACCTATGCAAACAGTGTTTATGGTTTTGCATAACCAGGCAAAGACAAACATCGCCCTTGGCAGTATGGCTAGAGCAGAAATCGAGTTGAAGTGGTTGAATTCTTACTGTAAGGCTTTGCCAAAAAGAGAACGTCACGATCTTCTATTGGACTTCGTTTCCTTACAACTTTGCGAAGTATTACTTCTCAGTGGAAAACCGGCAGAGGCAAATAATGTATACCCTTTTGAACGTCTAACATCGGAATGTGTACTGGAATTGATGCCCCGCTTCGGAGGAATTTACTTTGATCTAATGATCGAGACATTTGAAAAGAGAATTGACGTCCTTGTTGAATTTGGAAAACGGAAGAATGCTCTTGAATGTTTGCAAAGGCAGATCATTCTTGTCAAGGAACATTTTGGGGTTAGGCATTTCTTTGTGAGCTCCTTGTTATACAAGGAGGGGTGTACTTTAAAGCTAGAAGGGAGGTTATCCGATGCATGGGAAAAGTTCAAATGTTCATCAGAAATTCTAAGAGATATTTTTGGCGAGAAGCATCCCCTTCTTATCAAGTGCTACATGTCTCTCGGTGGCGTTTCGTTGCGATTGGGACGTGAGAGTGAATCCCATCTTTCTTTCTACCGAGCTATGGAGAACGTGGAAGTTATTCACCAAGTTTCATTTCCGAACCAATTGTCGATCAGGTATATTGAAATGACAAGTAACCCTAAACGAAAACCCTTTGGCATGTATCAAAATAGAGATGTAGAAGAGCAAATGATTGACGGACTGGTTGCGGAGCATGGGTTGGCATTGGCAGTGCTTTTGTCGCCGCTGAATCCCCCCAAAAAGCAGATTTTTCCAGAGACGACAAAGAAGGGAGCGAAGCAGCTGCCGGGAAAAATTGCAGAAGCTACACAGTCAGAAATCTTTTTGATTGTTTCTCAAAAAACTGCCCGTGATCTCTTGCTGAGTGGCCAAACCTTCCTTCGTCTGGGAATGAAAAATGAAGCCGGTGCCTTTTTCCAACTAGCTGGCGAACTTTGCCAGACAAATCATCTAGTACAAGGCCAATCCTTGCCACCCCTGGTAAGCCTATTTAACTTCATCAGTCAGACAAACTTCGCCGATCAAAACAAGGTGAAAGAGAACTCTGACGTGATAAGATTTCTTGAAGAACTAAAGGAAGACGCAGTAAACAGTGCTAACGAGAATGATGCCGAGAGTAAAACAGAAGCCAAGGAGAAGTTGAATTTTGACAGCCAAATGGATTTGAAACTGGTTCTTATATTGCTGATCCTCTTCTCTGTACAACTGCAGTTGCACGATGCCATTTTTGCTGCGTATGACCTTTACGCATCTCTTTTTCCAAACGATGGTTGGTTCTTCCTGAGTGCTAACGATGAGCTGCAGGTTTACTCATCGAAGACGTCAGTAACCTGTAACGGAAAAACTGCGGTGCAACATGTTCTGTTTTCCACTACAATTGGTGACAGCGGAAGTGAATTGGAGAGCTCCATTCCTAGAAATTCTGTGTTTCGAAACATGGTCTATAGGAAAGGTATGCCGACTTACAGCTTATTGGCCATTCAAAGCTCAGATGCCATTCCAGACGTCGATGGCATAAAGCAAGTAGAGGAGGCGACATTGCGTTCCTTCCAAGAGTACCTGGAAATCAAATGCCTTGACGAGGAAGGCGAAGCTACTCAGTTTATTGTTGATCTTTCAGTGATTTCAGAGAAAGAATCGTTTCTGACAGAGCGTCGTGTTGAGCTCCTGCCTATCTGCTTGTCTGAAGAAAAAGAAAAAGCTGAAATACCTAACGAAAGGAGCAACGTGCATTCCATCGTCCCATTTCTGTGCGAGAAGACAGCTTGGCTTACATTTGCGGATGAACCGACCAGTTGTTTCATGTTCGGTAAAATTGCTTTATGGCTTCTGCAGGAATGTAAATGGGAAAAGATGTCCTCATTGAGAGTGCAAAACCAGTGTCTTGTCCTAACAGTGGTCCGTCCAGTTAAAGCCAAAATAACAATCTGGTATGGAAATAATTTCATCAAACAAAGGGTTCAGATCATATTCACCAATGACGAGGAACAGCTGTTAGGTGGAACTGGACCGAAAGGTTCATTGTGCAACTCAGAAGTGCATAACAGGGTGATTGAGGAATTTTTCGCACCAGTCATCATTCATCACTGGACCAGCACCAGTAATGGAGTACGCGTGGGGACCGCCATTACTCGAGAATGCTCCTGGGCTGCTGCGCCTACAGCTGTCCTCCTTCAATCCAATGAACCAGCATCTTTTCAAAGATCCTTTGCAGAAGTAAGTAAACGGATCTCGATTTCATTGCCACGTTGTTGTTGAGTTTCATATAAAAGTAATATATTTTCCATAAAATTAAATAATGTGCGACCTAAGTTACGATTTTGTACAGTACTTACAATGAAATTTTTAGCGCTCCTATGAAAAATAAAATGTTGAACTTGATCATTTCAACATTTAGTTCATCTGATTCAATATTCCGTTCTGCAGTTAAATAATTAAAAATTCAAAACACTATTTGATTTAAGTATTGATTTCTGATTGGATTGATAAGGCATCGATTTTCCAAGTGACAAAGAGAAGTTAATCTGCTTGATGGGAAAAGAAATCAGTTGAAAAGAATTTGTGAACGAGGAAAATGCAAGCATTTCTTGTACTAGTATGTTAGATTGTTCGTTTCATCCAAAACGAGCGGAGATGGAAGGTGCCCTTGCGTTCTCTGAGTTGTTATGACTTGAATTTTCCTTTTTTATAACCTTAACTGGAAACACTTTGGTGACGTAAAGGATAGTTCTTATTAGAGGCCTAACAGAACAAGAATGGCGCAGTGGTGGGAATACTCGCCTCCTACCAATGTAGCCCGAGTTCAAATCTCGGCATCGAAGCCATATGTGGGTTGAGGGTACTCTCTGGTTTTCCTCTCTGCTCAAAAACCCTGACTTCTAATTTCCAATTCTATCTGGAACGTACAGATAGTCTAAACGAGTTCTTAAGAACTCCGAAGGGCTTCGTGGGTAAACACATGGGGGTGTGGATGACTTTCCCCAAATTTTTCGACCTGCCTTATAATTCAGTGTTATCTGATGGATTGTCGTGAAAGCAGGTCAGAAAAGCGGTTAAGCGATCTACGAAACCCCACTAAGACATAAACTTAAATGAAGTGATGTGCAACACAGTACGCAATGGGGAAATTAACTGTTACCTTATGCATGTAATTATACAACGTAGTTTGATTCTTATAAGAGAAAATGCGGTAACAGTTTCTCTAGAAATATCTACAAATTAATATGAGCAATGTTTGTCTGACCTGTAGGAAAGGAGTGCGAGAAAGTGCCTGAATGCTGTTACCCTTGAGTGTTTAACAGCGGTTAGTGAATTAACTTACCTTCTTCATGGCGACCAACACCCTGATGATGCAGTACCAGACGTACATCATGAAGATGCATTACAAGGCGTCCAAAAAAATCAGGTGGTTCCAAAGGTTACCGAAACTGATCCCTCTTTCAGTTTCTTTGACTCAGCCGTATCTTCCCTTAAAGTTGACAAAGACGTCACTCCCGATTCCCGTGGCTCCGCCAGCATTTCTAGTTATTGCCACAAAACAGCCTCCATTTCTGAAGGTAACACAGAAGAGATAAACGACTTGTTACTTACACCTTCTGGGTCAGTGAATGAGGAAGGAAGTAATTCTGTGGCCGTCAGCGATGAAGATAGACTGTTAGGAAGCGAGCTGTTCGAAAAAGACAGGAAATCTAGACACGTTTCCATTGATAAGCTACTTGAAGAAATGAAGAAAAAGGAAATACTTCCAAATCCTTGCCACAAGGTAAAAGAAGAGTGTGTAAAAGAGGTGTCTTCTGTGGAAGAATCACCTCATCAGAAACTTCAGTGTGAACGTCTACGATCAGGATCTTTCGATTGCTCTGAACACGAAGGAGAGGTAGATGGAAATAAAAATTTCGAAGATAATGAGAGTTTTTCGGAAAGTTGTGGAAAGTCTCTGGCCTTTTACCAGAAACACGCTCCTGGTATTTTGCAGACAAGTGAAGAAAGGAAAGAAAAGAGAGGCTGGGCATTTTCCAGCGCTGCTGAACTCCAGAATGACTCGGTTTGTCAGCCAGTGATAGACGAAAAGGAAAAACAAAGTGCAACCACCAGTACGACTATGGAAGTCGCCTTGCTGCGGAAAAAGAAAGGTGATCATTTTTGCGTAACGGAAGAAAACGAAGCAAATATCAAGGATATTTGTGGCCAACAAAGCGATCAACATGTGGTTCTTGAAGGCACCACCCAAGAAAGAGGCATGGATATCAGAGACCCCCAAATTGGCCGGGTTGGAAGAAATCATACCGAACACAACAAAGAAGTAATGCAACTAGACAAGGAAAATGACCTCCATATCGGAATGTTCAAAAGCCATGACTCCCAGAATCAAAAGAAAACGAGCTTGCTTGGCAGTGAGACCAATTCCGAATCTTCCAAAATCTCAGAGATTGGTGAGTGTTTTGTAGAGAGAGCAGAGGACGCGGTTCAGAACACCGCACGAGATTTTGAGAGTTTCAATTTAGGACTCACTAGTTCTAAGAGAAAACGAAGCCATGGTAACGTTGACGTGCCAGGTCAAATTGGTACAAAACTACAGCTGGATCAACGAGACCATCTAAGCGGTGTTAGTGCAATTCACAGAAAAGACCACATGAAGAGGACACCTCGATCTCCATTTTTTGGAGGCGATGTCGTCGCAGATGGTTTTACCTCAGACTTCTTGCCAGATTCTACTACTGTTGCTGCTCGACCCACCCTACAACTTTCAGAAGTCCAACAAAGAGATACTATGGGAGCCAATACTCGTTCTCGGTTTCTGGGTGACAATGGTGTGGCAGACGCCTACGGCAATTTAACAGCTGCCTCGCCACAAACATTTCAAGATATTGTCGACGGTCCCGCCATTACGACCGAAAATCCTCATTCAGGCGATCCCACGATTGAAGAAAGGGGTACTGGAAACGTTTGTTGTGGTGAAATCCGCGGGAATGATGTTAAAGAAGTAAATAAGCCCCCAAGGATTTACAATAATTGTGTTGATCAAGTGACTTCGGACAGACGAGAGTTAGTTGATACTTCCGCAAATCCTCCTGCAGACAGAGACGACACTGATTATCATTTACCAGATTTTGGAGGAGCAAGACCTAAACAAGGATTGCCTAAACCACTAAGATCTTCCAGTGTCATTTCCAGGCCCGTGCAGTTACGTTCCAGCCAACAGTCTGAGGAAATTATTCTCGGCCTAAATCCCAACTTTGTGGCGCGCCATGCTGTTACTGACGATAACCTCCACTACCCTGATTTTGATCGAGCAGAATGGAAAGACCCTTTATATCAATATAGTGAGGAGCATCTCTATTTAGCCAACGTCTCTAGTAATTTAAGCAGTAAAAAGAGTTTTAACTTGTATGGGCAAGAAGTATTACAAAATAGTCATAACTCATCCAGCATAAGTCGACACTCACCTAAGTCAGACGCTTTTGACAGTGGCGCTACCATGCAAAGAAGTGTTCATTCTTTGGCTAGAAGTCCGTCACTTCTCCCCAAGGAGGATAAAAGCTGGCATTTTCCACCCTTACAAGGAACTACAGAAAACCATATCCAACAACGTAAATACCGAGAAAACTACGGTCCTGGTCACTTGCAATTGACGCAAGATCATGGACCAATGTTTCAGAGTCCAAATCCAGATGCAAGCAATGGCATGGTCGTAGCCTCGACCAATTTCAATAACAATACCGACAGTTATGAAGATTCTTCCATACATTCGACTTACACCAGCGAAGCAGATTCGGTTACTGTGCACGAAGACCAGCAGGATTTAATTGAAGACAACATAGAAACCCGTCTAGAGGATCTAGAAAAGGTCATGTCGAGAACTGTAGGCCTCTTCGCCTCTATTGTGGCCACCGAAACGCAGGTGGAAATTAAAGAGCAAAATACAGAAAAGGTAGGTATACAAGAACAAGCGATGAGCGGAGTAGACAATGGCCAAACCGAAATTGCTGGGGGAGTATATTCTGGAGAACAAACAGCCCTTATTCCGAGAAATGAACAAACCACAGACACTAAGAGGGAAGACGGCATCTCTCCCATTCAAGAAAGCCCGCGTCCCGCATGCGGTCATTATCAGCGGCGATGTCTTGTCCGTTTTCCATGCTGCGGGCGTTTTTACCCCTGTCACAGGTGTCACAATGAGTCGGCCGCATGCACTGATGACCAAGCAAGAGCCATAAACGCTACACATATCAGATGCATTATCTGTTACCACGAACAAGTGGTAAGATGATGATACATCCATCTATTTGCTAATGCTTTGTAGTTTCTACATTAAAATTGTTGATACCACGCTAGCAGGCGTCCGGCGTCGTCATGTTTTAAGTGTACTTGCTTAATTAGGGCGCACTATTCAATTCCGACCCCAGGCATTTGCAGTTGGTTGAATTTTTTGAGCAAGCCAGATCATGAACCACAACAGGAATCCCTTGGAGAATGTTTGATATCCCTAGAACATGCATTTCCGTTGAGTCTCTATTTTTTTAAAATATATTTTGCAAGGCAGAAAACTTCCAACAAGATATCTGAAAGATGGATCTTAACGTTAAGCTTAACTTCTGTTTTTGTTTATCTTTCTTTGTTTTGTTTTATTTTTTAAGTTTGATTACATATTCTCTATAATAAAGTATGTAATGCAATTTATGACACTAACAAATGTTTTTATATTTTCAAACCATAGATTGACGAGGGAAGCCAAAAGTGTCGCGGCTGTAATTCGAAAATTTCAGATTATTTCTGCGCCATCTGTAAACATTTTACTTCGCTCGACAAGAATCCATTCCATTGTGACAAGTGTGGAATCTGTAGGTAGGAGGTATATTCTTAACTTTAGGTCTAAGGAGATGTACTTACATTTTTTGTTTCCTTGAAGTAGGCGCATAGCATTTAATAATAATAATAATAATAATAATAATAATAATAATTTATTCATTGATAGTGTGCTTTTTAACATGCTAGGTGATCAAAAGCCCATTACAACAATAAATAACCTCAAAACTATACAAATATTAGAAATATACAAATATATTTAATATCTAAGAGATATTGAAAGCTAATTTAAAAAGATAAGTTTTAAGATTAGACCTAAAAGTAGTACGCTTGATGTTGCGAAGGCTAACAGGAGCAGCGTTCCATGAAGTGGGCGCAGCCACACTGAAGGATCTGTCACCAAATGACTTTTTTATTTTCCCTGACGGATGCTTTAATAAACCACCTTCATTAGAGCGCAGCAAATACCGCGTATTAATCTTAGTATGAATTAAATCAATGATGTAACTAGTTGCCATGCCATAGAGGGCTTTGATAGTAAGTAATAAAATTTTAAAATTAATTCTATATCTTAGTGGTAACCAGTATAAATTTATCAAAATGGGCGTAGTATGGTCATACTTTGTACATGACACAAGCAGCCTAGCTGCAGCGTTCTGTACTCTTTGCAACTTAGCTATTTCACAGTCCGGTAATCCATAGATTACAATAATCAATTCTACTTGTAACGAAGGCATGCAACACCATTTTTAATTTATCCCTAGGCAGAAATTGGGTTATTCTCTTGATATTATGTAACCGGAAAAATGCCGCATTACAAGACATAGAAATATGGGTCGACATAGAAAAATGCGAGTCGAACCAGGCGCCGAGGTTACGCGCTACTTTAACAGGCTTAATATCAATAGTGCCCACACGGACAGAACAGTGATGAATTTTCAGCAACTGTGGTCTCCATCCGATAACAAGAAATTCAGTCTTATCATCGTTGACCTTTAGTTTGTCCCGGTTCATCCATTTACGTAAATCACTGATGCATCGCTCCATGGCTTCCAATGCCATCACTTGATCCGTAGGACTGTTAGGATCGGAAGACAAGTAAAGTTGCGTGTCGTCAGCGAAGCAGTGCGCATTCGGCAGGTGGTCTTGTACTATCTCAAAGAGCTTGGAAGCGTAAACCACAGACAGAAGCTCAATATCACAATATCAACCTGATAACTGTACGGATCTGAGCGGCCCAGCATTGAGCAGTGCACAACGCTTCAACGCTGAGTACGTCCACATTCACTGCAAAAGCTACCCTTTGTTTTCTTTTCCAGATAAGAGTGGAGAGAGAATACCTTATCGCCGAAACAAGGGCCATATGTTGCACTCTGATCTTTCTCTTTTCAAGTCAATCATGCTCTCCCAAAAAGTAAAGGAAATTAGCAGACTTTCAAGGCTGTATGTGTTTTACAATCACAAGACAATTTAACGCTTCCAAACAGTGCTCCATACTTTGTCCAGAATCATACCACTTGAGTGATTACTTACTGAGAAACCCTTCTGCCCTTACCAACGCCACCTCTAGTCCTGATTATTTCAGCCTCTTTTTTTTTTGTTTACAACCTCTTTTGAACCACTGAGATGTAAACTGCTTACCTCGCCGGTAGCTCCAGGCTAACTGAAGAAAATGCTTGTTCTGTCCTCACTCTATGTAGTGCCTTCTACATGAAACAAAAAAAAAAGAAACAAACAAACAAATCAGAATTTCTTCTCACTTTTGCAGCTCTTCAATGCTATTATTATTATTATTATTATTATTATTACTGCTTTTATTCTAGTCAGTTATTTCTGATGTCTTTTACGTTTTTGCACTTGCTGAAATGTTTTTTCGTTCTTTGTTTTTTCTTCTTAGAATTCACCGTGATAAGTCTTTTCATTGCGATGTATGCAACGTTTGTCTGGATAAAAGACTTCAAGGGAAACACAAGTGCCGACCAGACTCTGGGCATGATGAATGCTGCATTTGCCTGGAGGTAAAATATGTTTTAGTATTAGGAAAAGGTTCTAGGAGAACATATTTCATATTGCGATATCAAATCTGATATCAAATAGCTGTGTTGTGCATTGTCTAGTTTGCTAGCTAATGAAGGAAATCTGTTATATGTAGTCCGTTGTATGTAGTTACTCGGGTAGCTACATGCATAATTAGTTCCAGTCAACTGTTTCCCTGCATGAGGGACTACTGTAGTATCTGGTATTCACGTAAGAATATAAAGTGGATGAGGTAAAACAGGGATCCGTAAAGGGAGAAAGGAATGGAGAGGAATTTTACTTAATTATTAATTAAATGCATCTCATTCGATCCTTAATCCGCATGTAAGTGAAGAATGACGACTTTTTGTTTAAACGTTCAAGGTACAGACAAGAAATTTAGTCCTAGCAACAAGGTGATGACAACGCGGAGCTGCGCCAACGTGTAATGCAACTTTTGTAAGGAAGTATAAATTAAGGATGCGGGCAAAACAGAGAAATAAGAAAGTGACAAAGACAGATGTTGATGGAGCTTTACAGCAATAGCACGTAACAATGCGTGAGAGGCTCATACGCACTGGCAAAGATGATCGCTACGATGACAAATGGGGAAGATTTATACTGAATGTCGACCAGAGCCCTCTTCCCTTTGCCGTTTGCATCAAGACCACCTACGAGCTCTCAGAAGAAGACCAGCACCAGATTGGATTAATGAGCCTGGTAGTGGGCTTGTAAAACACCAGTGCGCACTTCAGGTGTGCTTCAGACCAATTAAATGGTGATAAGCGTAGACTTGGTATCATTTTTCGGGGAACAAACAAACGAATCAGCAATGATAAAAAGGCAGCTACCACCCTGATTTTAGTGTTTTCTTTCAAACAAAATGCATGGGCGGACACCACTACCTTTGTGGAATGGGTTGAGAGAACCCTTTCTAAATCTGTGGCCGATTATGATCGCTTTGGTTTGTTTTGTAATAATTTGAAGAAGCAGTATCGTAACTTAGGGGTGTTGTTTGGTACGGATTACCCGCAACAACGGATCTATAGCAGCCAGTTGATGTTAGTTATGCACAACTCCTTAAGTCCTTGATTGGGCAAGCTCAAGGACGGTGGCTGGATGATGAAGACAATGCAACGAAGTGGTACTGCCACGATAAGAGTTTTACGTCCATGCAGCGAAGAATATTGATAACCCACTGGGCTGGAGATGCCTAGAACAAGCCAGTAACACCTGCTTATGATCACCTGCACCTCAAAGTGTGGCAGAAGACAGGTTGCCTGATTTGAGGACGAATTGGTCGAACCAGAGGGCCTACTGAGCTACATTTTCCACCACCTTCCCTACTACAGCCTTTATTATCTGATCCACCCTAATGAGGACAACACTTCCATCAGCTGTAGAACTGACAGCGATGCTGACAATGAGAATTAAAATGAGGAGAGTGAGCCTGATCCAGCAGAGGACAGGATGGCGGACAGGGACTATGACAATCCACCAGTGGAAAGAAAGGAGACTGCGTTTAATGAGAATGGTTGGTTTACTGGCATTATCCACTACTTGAACAAAGTTCTAAAGGATTTCAAACATCTGATTTTCTCACCGTCCAAGAGTTTGATGACGTAGAAGATATATTTTGAAACTCGAGCGTTAGACACTTTCTTACACGATGTAGATATTGGGTCCATTGTATAAGGCATATTTCACAGCTTTGCTTTTTTACGTTACTGTTATTGCGTTTCTAGTGACAATTTTCTAACGACAATGGTTTTAGTTTTCTCATAAATGAATTGTACAATTACAATGTAAATGTATTATTGATCATACACAACAGGAATGTGTTGAGAGAACTAAATTTTACACTCTGATTCCATGTAGGACATTACGGTAATTCAGATTTTCTGGATTTAGGACAGTAAAAGTTTTGAAAAATAAATTTTTCTTCTCTGAGAATCGAATTTGTTCTTGGCATGATCTTATAAAAAATTTTCTTTTAAGAAAGAGATTGTACACCAATATACTAGATGTATATGTTCCAAAATTTTAAGGTAATTCGCTGATTTTGCACTGCGCATCTTTTACGTCGCATAGCAAGATGAACACCGAAAACAAGAGCGTCTGAAGTAACATTACTTGTTGGAATTTTCGCTTGCGGTTGTTCTTGCCGAGATGAGACTCAATGTGTTGGGAATGTGCAGAACGTCAACAGCGCGCGTGTTGCTGAGTTCGACTTCCTCACGGAGAACCTCGATAGTGGATGTTAAACTTGTGCTAACTCACACCGGTTTTCATTTCAGCGCCATCTTTGTCACATTGCGTGGCAACTGTGATATCTCGATGTCAATTCTGTAAAAACGGATTTTTTAATGCTTTCTTCCCCCTTCCACATACATACCATTTTTAAACTCGCCCCAGTCCTCTGTCAAAAATCTGAGGAAATTCATTTTGTGAGCACTTTCTGTAGCTCTACGGCAAAAACGAGTGCGGTGACCCCCATTTTTTTCTCATGATTTTAGTACGAACATTGCTTCCTTTAAATGAGAAAAAAATTGGCATAAGTCTATGTTCAGTTTTTTAGCAATTTTACTAAATTGTACGGATTGAACTATAACGGGTCGAATAGTGCGTGTCCAAATTAAGTCTACTTTGGAGCACAAAGTTAAAACAACGGCATTGAAGGGCATTTTTCTGGTACGTGCGTCGATAAGCAACACATTTAAGTCAAATTCTGTGCGATACCACATGCATCATCGAAAAAATCTCTCCTTTTTGTCTAGTTTTGATGTAGCCGTATTTGTCAGCATTGTGACGTGAAAACAAGCACAGTGACCCCTACTTTTTATTACTTTTTATCATCTTCCTGACTTGTTACATCAGTGTACCAAGTTTCATCTACAATCTATGTTAGGTTCTTTTACTAAGGCATCACCTTAAGTCGTTAATCGAAAGTTGAATTTCGTTACTTGCAAGGGTTTTAAATAATGCAAGTCTACTCCTACTCCAAATCCAAATCACCTTACAAACACTTCTCCCAATTAACAAGTAAAAGAATAAGAGTATACCTTGACAGGAAATGCGTTTCCATCACCCCTATGTTTTCCATAAACCGTATATCATGTCGTTAGACAATGACCAATTTCTTTCTAATTTTAGGATGCTTTCAGTGGCTGTCAAATTCTTCCTTGCTCCCATAAAGTACACAAGGATTGTGCTATAGCCATGATACAAAACGGAATGTAAGTATAACATTGTTACATATCTCCATAGCTGCACGCTTTTTTTTAACTATGAGTTCTAGTCAAATATAACAGAAAAAGAGAGCTCTGCGCGAGGAACCGCCTACGATGCACCATCATGAGGTAAAAAGAAAAATGTTTACCTATCTATACGAGGAATTTTGGTTCGAGGAGGAAGGGAAGACTGTTTTCTCCTTTTCTGCTGCTGCTATAAAGCCTTTTCGAGTAGAATTATGGGCAGAGACACGATTTTGTTTTGTTTTTTTCCTTTTAGGGCTGACTTGCTTGTCAGTCAGTTGCTTAAGGAAGCCAGAAAAAAAAAAAACTAAGTCTTGCGCGGAACCCCTGACCTTTGCATTATCATGCAGTTGACCCAAGAAGCTAACTGGAAGCTTGTTATTAAGTTACAAACCGGTGAAAGAATGAAGAAGAAGTAATTGATATTTGAAATTCATTTATAAGAACTGTGAGAAGAGGAATATAATATAAATAACAATTATTTACCGAAGTGGAGGTGGCTAGTAGAGGATATTCACTGATTGAATAGCCAATCAGAGCGCGCGAAAAACACTGTCCACTGTTTCAGTGTATATTAAAGAAGGTTATCGCAGTTATAAACACAGCTTTTATTCGCAAGCCTGTAAACAAAATCCAGGTTAGTACGGGATTCGAAAATACCGGTACAGCGCTCTACAGCGCTTTTTTTTCTGTTATATCTTCACATACCAACCAAATGTCGAGAAGTTGGTACAAGATTTTCTTTTTTTTTTTTTTTTTGACTTTCTCACTCCGGCGACACACGCAACCACTATTGCTGGGAGGGAAGGGTAGGTGGGGAAAGGACTACTTATAATGACCTATTCGGGAAGGTCCCGCTTGAAATGGGTATCTTTTTCGATCAGGCTTCCTTGATTTAAAAGGGCAAGTAATTCACTGGGAGTCGAAGTATTCAAAAGGATAGGAAACTCTGACAGTTAGGTAATTGGAAGGACTCTTGATTGAAATATTTCAAACAGACGCACTACTCCCATTAATGTCCACATTACCACCACCGCCATCACTTCAAAATTAATTCCGTTGTCTCAAATTCCCTGAAAGATCCTGGAATAAAGTTGTTATTATTCCTACTAACAGTAGTCTTTTCTTCCTCACAGCCGCACATGTCCAATATGTCGCCATCCGCTCTTCCAGCAACCGGAGGGCACTGATCAATAGATCAAATAAAGTTGCACGTGTGTACGATGCACTTTGCGTCAAATATATTTAATAATAATCAGTTTAGCATTTCTTAGCTTGAGGTAGTTTTATGGTGTAATCCTTGCTTCCTATGTGTTAAAGACAGGCGCGACAAAACAGGCGAGACAAATCCGAAAATAAGCCCCAGGGCTTATATTTTTCAAAGGCCCTTTTTGAGGAGCATATTTTGGAGGGGCTTATCTTACGAGGGAAATTTGCGTTTCAAAATCGATTGGGCTAGCCTTATAGTTGGAAGGAAATTTACCGTTTTTGCTTTGTTTTACTTTGTATTTGAGGGTAATTTCCAAGTAAAAGCCCCAGGGGGGCTTATATTTGGAGGGGCTTATTTTCGGAATTTTACGGTATTTCCAAAAATAAATGTCACGTCTATAGTTGTGTCGTCTCGACGTACGAACTTGCTTTCTACGAGAAACTTTAGAAATTTTGTCAAAGTAAATTTTATATTCCCATATGATGCGTCTTGTTCTCTCAAGACGTTGCTTAGTTACACAACCGTTAGAATTAAAGGGTCGGTGTCCCGATTATGCCCACGCCGGCAAGCAAGACGTTTAAGAACAAATTTTCCAAAATTCTAGATCTCAAATCGTCTTCCGAACAGATATTTTCCAAAAATTGAAGTTGGGTGCCCCTGAACATTCTTTTGATTTCACTGCATTCGTTTCTCGAAACATGTAGTGCCTGTTTGTTTGATTTTGTCGGCCGTAGGAAGGTTTATTTAAGACTTTACTAACACGTCGTTGCAAAACATTGTGGTTCACGAAGCTTAAGAGATTTCCTCATGTTTCAATGGTTTCTTTCTTACACAGTCTTTATTGTTGCTGTTCCATTTCTGCGTATTCCTTTCACTATTATCTGAGCTCGTATGGAAGCTGGCGGGAGAAAGAAGCCTTCAATCGGCATTAAAGCGCTTCCCTTCTCTTAGACCTCCGACCGACGGCAATGAAAGTAATGCCAAAAAATCCCGATTTCGCCCAAATCGAAACTCAACGGGAACAATATATCGTTGATCTGTAATTCTGAAGAGTTTGAATGTAGTATCGAACTCGACCAAACGCGAAGCAAACGGATGTTTTAAGGTTCTCTTACTCTTCTCGCATCTTTTGAATTCGCTACGATCTTTCAGAAAATCAAAGTTTGGGACATGCGCAGTAACGGGATACTGTTTCTTTAAAAGTGAGAATCTGAAGTACCATAATATGATTAGTGCTATTAGCTTTGTGCGTAAGTACCTTAGGCGGCGTGCAAACGGACGCAACATTGTTGACCAACAACTCCCAACATTGTTGGATGTTACATGTTGCGTCCGTTTGCACACCCTGATGCATGTTGTTGAATGTTGTTGCGTGTTGCTGCGCAAAGTTTGAAACCGGTCAAGCTTTTAGCCCCGTGCAAACGGACGCGACATTGTTGGGAGTTGTTGCGTCCGTTTGCGCGTAACCTTATGTCCAAAAAGTTACCAAAAGGTGCTAGCTTTTCGATCAATGTACATGTATATCTACCTGGATCTATGAAAGCAGGGTTAGCAAACTTTTTTAAATTTCTCCAAGTGGCTGTAGACAGAATTTCGCGAATTTCTATCTAATCCCCTTCCCTCCCTCCCTCTTTGTTTGTCTGTTTGTTGTTGTTGTTGTTGTTTTTTTTTTTGCGTCCCTACTCACAATTCTCTCTTATACACAAGCCACAGTTATTTGAAATCAGTACGCGCCTAAAGCTGGTTTCCTCGACGCTTAGCAGTTTGCAGTTCCTTATTGGTCACCTTGAGAAAAGTTTCCTGGAGAGTATCATGCTCTTTGGCCTCGGGAACAGGCTTTTACAAGTAAAAATAATTAGACGAGAGCAAAATTGCAGGTGCGTGAACTTTGGTCCGGGCCTGGTGTGAAAACAGGGTCTATGCTGGTCCGCCGACCGTGTCATCCGGGAACTTGAATAGGACGAGTGTAAGAAGAAAGTCCAGAGGAGTTTATCTGCAAATAGGCTAAGTCTCTCCGAGTTATTTGATGATATTTCCCTTGTGTTAAACGTGAGAAGATTATGCGTGGTTGTGGGTAATCGTATCCGTGCCGCAAAAATGTGTACTTGTGTGATTTTCGGTATGTGGTCGCGTAGTTGAGCCGTTACACCAAAATATTCTGTGCCAGCCATAAAAACGTTTTGTCGGTGTTAGCGTAGCTGATTGTACTCTAGGTTCCAGAGGATAGTTTTTTCTTATCGATGCTGATGGTTCACGGTGAAGCGACGTCAACGAGGCGCGGATCGCCCAGAGTCCGTCTCGGGAGCCTTATCGAACCGTAAGCACGGTTTATTTCATATTAGGATTTTGAGAACGGACCTCTGGAGCCAGAGTAAGCTGATTGTGCCTTGAAAAACCAATACTTGACACAGGAAAATTGGGTCTAGGTCTAGTTTCAGCGGGCTGTTATGGCATTGAACCATAGGCCGGTTTTTGCAGATAAGAAGGTGATAATTTGTGCACTATGTTTCACTCAGTTTGTTGTCTATTCCATGCGAAATCCTGTCGTTTATTGAATCGCGAAAAAAGTGGTATTTTGCTAACTATTTGTATAGGTAATAGCAAGATTTGTAGTGATATTTGTCATAAATACCACGAGTGATTTTTTAAGATTGTTATACGTTATTCGAGACAATTTTCAAATATCACGAGTGGTATTTATGCCAAATATCACGTCAAATCATGTTATTATTTGTTTATACTACTACTCACAAAAGGCTTATAATTTTCACATGTAGGTATTTTAAATTAAGCTGAAATACCACTGCTCGAAGCCCATCAAATTGCAGAAATTTCTCATGTAGTAGTATAAAAGTTGTTGCATAAGCCTTAACAGGCACTGCGGCTGCAGTTCTCTCAACTTAAAAATTTCTAGACTGAAGTGACAGTTTGAAACTTCATGCACGAAGTCAGATTACTGAATAAATGCTCTAAAATTTGCGTCACTTTAAATTTTGACTCGTTCAAATGCTTCTAGGGACCTCTAACTTACTGCCCGGCGTCAGATAAAGGCTTTTACATGATTTTGAATGATTTTTTATTGTTTTAAATTGCCAAGTAGGAGAATGAGTTGGTTTTTTTGCTAACCCGTTTTTCAAAAATCCAGGTATATGTATTTTAATAGAGTGAATTGCAGCTGGTCGACAAAGAGTAGCTAAAATCAAAGGCTAAATTTAAAATCAATAAAGGAGTACCGTTATTCCACGATCTATTAATTTGCTATCTGTTATCGATGTGGAACGTGGTTGGCTGTGGTAATTTTAAGTTACAAAAACGTACAGATATATAAAGTTGCCAAATTAATTTATATATTCATCGCACTTGTTTAAGTTTTTAAATGAGACATTTATAATTGGCGAACACAATCGGTAGGAATGCAACAGCCGTTGTGTAACGTTAACTAGGCTGATTGAGCAACAGAACGGGAACGTCAGTTGACGACGGCGCGTGCAAATCAAACAACTGGCTTGACCAATGGCAGAGCAACACCGGACAGTCGAGTTTAGTCCTTTCCGCGCGCTTTCCCGTCGTCAACTAACGTTCCCGTCCTGATGCTAAATCAGCTTACTGTAAAGTTAACTCCAGTGATGGTTCCTGCATATTTCGAGACATAAAACGCGATAGCATATAAAGAGAGGTGAACTCAACATCTACATCAGAAGTATTCTCACTGAATACTCACTGTGCCGTCCTTAGGGACGCATCAATGCACTGCAGGCTCCCCTTATAAATAGAAT